CTTATGGAGACCCCAATTCAGTAGGGAATTACATCATTGGTTGTGTATGTCTTCCCTTTTATTGGGAGGTCAGCAAGACATCATCACTCAACTGTGATGTTTATTTGAAATAACATTTGCTAAGGAAAAACTTAGTTCTTGCCTCTGTGCTAAATAATTGGTAAGACATTATTATAATAATTATTGTGATTATTATTTTTACTCTCTACATAGTTTCAGAGAGTTTATAAAAAATGATCATCTAAATTAAGATTCCTCTGTGCTCATTTGAATGGTGTGTTAAGAAAGTGCTCTGTTTTTTGTTTTTTTAATAATCGTTCAGCTCCGAAGTCATCATTTTATTTTAATAAAGGAAAAGGGATTTCAGTAGAACATATTGAGAGTTTCTGACAAACATAGGAACATTGATACTGCTTTTTGGTTAATTGCTGTTGCATTTTTTTTGGTGAGAAAGATTAGCCCTGAGCTAACATCCATTGCCCATCCTCCTCTTCTTGCTGAGGAAGATTGGCCCTGGCCTAACATCCATGCCCATCTTCCTCTACTTTATATGTGCGACGCCGCCACAGCACGGCTTGATAAGCAATGCATAGGTCCGTGCCAGGGATCCAAACCTGTGAAACCGGGGCCACTGAAGTGGAGCATGTGAACTTGACCACTATGCCACTGGGCCAGCCCCCTGCTGTTGCTTTCTAATGTTATCATTTCTGTATATTAAAATTTGTGGATGCGTTAGGCTATGGTTATGAATAGGTCAAGCCTCAAAATATCTGTCAGGTTCAGAGAAACTTTCTGTAAAGGCAGGGTCTTATCTACAGATATCCTTGGAGAAGCACATGACTCTGTCTTCTCTTAGACACAGTTGATTGGACCAAACTGGAGCATCTGATTACAGAACAACTATTTTATTGACCTTGGCCAACTATATTTTCTGCTCAGTTCTGGAGGAAGAGTTAGAGGCGGACTGGGAGAGGAGACGAAAGAGAAGGAGAGAGAGAGAGAGAGAAATGGAGAGTTCCACCTGTCCTAGAACGACTGCTAAGCGTCATGGGAAGCGTAACTGGAAAGTGAGCCGGACTAAGTCAGCATAATAGAGAATCAAAGACATTGGAATCAGCCAATCCTAGGTTTGAATTACCTCCCCCACTACATGGATATATGAAGTTGACTAAGATCAATCCCCTCTCTGAGATTCAGTTTCCTCATGTGTAAAATGGGGCTAATCAAACTTACTTTGCAGAGATGTTACGGTTTTAAGATAATAGATACAAAGATCCTAATCCAGTTTCTGGCATACACCAGGCATTCAATAATGGAAACTCTTATCCTTCTTGGTTTCCTCCTCCCATTTTCCTTCAGCTTCCTGTCACCCTTCCATTCTCTGTTCCTTGAACAGCACTGACTTTTGGGATGAGATGACCACTGATTTATCGTTCGGCTTTTCTTTTTATAACATTACTCACTCTAGTCCCAACAACTTCTAGGTTTCTTCTAATTAAAGGATTTTATGATTCTTCTCTGGTACTGTAGACAAGTCTTTGGTGTCTCACTTAAAACCAAGGGAATAAGGAAAATTTCATGTGCAGACGTTTTCAGGTTTCAGGGTCATCTTCTCACAGTGCTATTGCTATTGTGGAATCAATGCTAAGGCAAGATGGTTTCAGAGCAAGAATCTAACAACTCCATTCTGGATTTAATTTTCAAGGATTTTTTTCTTTTTTTGAGTCACACCAAATAAATCTTTATTCTTTTCTGCTCAGGAAACTCGGTTTTATATTCATTCATTACAAAATCCTTCTGACTCTCAGGAAACTAAAGACAAATAAACCTCAGTGTTTTTTCTATCAGGCTTTTTCTTCACCATGGCAGTTGGAAACAGTCATTAATAACCAAGACACAATCAAAAGAATTCAACAGGATGTGTGGTGAAATAATTAATTAATATAGAATTATAATTCAAGTTTTCCCTGTAATGAAAAAACAAGTATACAAGTTTGAATTCAATAATTAAAGCTTGCTTTAGGCATATCAATGAAAAAAATTCCTTCCAAAAGCAAATTTGAAAGTAAGGAGAATGTGTTTAGAGTCATTTCTCTTGTGTCAAGATAGTGCAGTATTTTCTAGAATAAGTAAATCAGGTGCATGGTCATACTTTAATGTCAATATTTTGATTTTCTTACTTATTTTTTTAAGACTGGATTTAAACTCTTAATATAAAGCAGACTTTTAATTTCCCATTTTTCAAAGATAATATTGAAAGATAACTTTTTAGCTTTTAAAGTTTTAAGAAATGACTCATTGTACCACTACTGTCTTATAGGCTTCAAAATCAAATTTCCGGTCAGTATTGTGCATTATGACTTGGCAAACATGTATCTTTGTGTGTTGTAATAGAGATTATTATTAAGACCTTTTTATTGCTGGTTTCCACGTTTTGGGTTGTAGATCTTCAGAAAACTCCATCAAATAGATGAAAAGAACATTGCATGCTTTAATGAAATATACTGTTTGCGTCAGTTGGAACAAAATCTCTGATGGAGATTCATAAAAGATCGGGAAAGTTTCTCATTTTATTAATTTCAGATTTATCTTTACGAACATTTATTTCTTGCCATTTCCTGATTAGTAAAGATGCCTACATTCAGAAAGATGAGCATTCTTAAGTTGGCAACTTTGTTCCCCAGAAACATAGCACGCAACCAAAAGGGAGATATGCCAAAACCAAGGGTCAGCAGTGAATGAGGGTTGTGTCAGAATAAGACCAGAAAACATTTCTTTTTCTCTAGTGATCAAAAGCTGTGGAAAGCTCTGTGCCCAAAGAGACATGGCAGAGCATTTGACTCAGAAGCCGGGGCAGCTCAAGGGCCAGAGCTGAAAGACTGTCTGACAAACGGCTGAGTGCCCTGGGAAAACTCCACGGGCCACCCTCTGGATGGTGCTCTGGTTCCAGCTGGGCCCAGTGGACCTAGTCTGGCCTGGTTTTAGCACTGGTTTAAAAGACCCCCGGAAAACCTACTTAGTCCAGATTCTTTGAGGCACAACAACGGAATTCTAAGCTCACCATCGACTAGTTTGAAAATCTCAGATTAGCCTCAGAATTGACTTTTAATCAAGAAATATTTATTGAACACCTATTATGTGTTTCAGGGCCGTCTAATGCCAAATCCCCCCAAACAAACTTTGTGTTTGTTTATTGATTCATTTCCCCCTACAGAAAACTGGACACTATCCTCTACGGTGGGTCAAAGGGATCAAAACTCAGAGAACAAATAAGGCAGTGTTTCTCCCACCCCTGGCAAAGCTACTCTTAAATTTTTCAAAAAGAGGATCATTTATTCTATTCTTTAAAATCTCCAAATATTGCTATTACACGATTTTCTTCATAATTTTTAAAAAAAATCTTTTTCTACATTTTAACAAAAGTCTTCTACTTAGGAAATTGGGCTTTCCTTAGTCCTGAAGAAACACGAATCATTTCCACAGAGTGTAAGTTTTGTTAGAAACAAGACGACAGGCCCCAAATGGAGTCACTTATGCTAAGCCCCACATCCCCAAACTGAGACTTAAGTACAGTTTGGGATCTCCTAGAAATGAAATCTAAAACCAATCAATCAGGAATCACCTGACCGGCACTAGGTCATCTGCCTGATGGACCCCTGACGACCCCTAAAGGAAAGTCACCTTGCAATAGCCAATCCACTGTTCCGCCCAGTATAACTTCCTTGTTCCTGCTCCCTTCTGCCTATAACAGCCTTTCATTTTCTACAGCCCCTGGGAGTTCCTTTTTATCTGCCAGGTTGCATGCCGCCTGATTCATGGATGGTTGAAGAAAGCCAATAAGGTCTTTAAAGTTTATTCAGGCAAATTTTGTTTTTTAACAGTGCAGTCTTTAATTTTGTCAAAATTATTATTTTTAATGGTTTATAAGGAACATGAAATGTTTATGGGAACATCAAATGGTTTCCCAGACAAGACCCAGGAGTAGAAAATGACTAAGAATAACAAGAGAAATGAGCAGAAAGCTCTGGGCTCATCGTGAAGGATGAAATAGCCCTTTAAAGTTCCTTCTGAGCACACTGCAATACCTACTAACTTCATTAAACACTAAAACAAGACTTGCGGCACTATTTCAATGTTGTGATAGCAAATTCTATTTTTGCGGCATTCTCTATCTCCCCCATCTCCACTGCGGTATGTTTGAAAATCTATAACAGGTCTGATGATTTTCAAACAACAGAGGACTCAGGAATAGTTTGTCTTGGAAAGTGTAAGAACTTCCCAAGGGTTAGGGCATCGTAAAAGAACTAGTTTCTACTCGATTTAAATATTAAATTGTTCGCGACAAATTTTCAATTAACTTGAAATGGATTAATTGCAGGCCACATACACCCCCTTTCTCTGTATGTTAATCAACACACTTATTGGTCCCCTATGAGTTCAAACCTCTGAAACAAGCAGGAAAAAACCAAAGATGCATAACTCAGATGCGAGAATGACCAAAATTTCCTAGCCCTCAGAGACTGTTCTCAGTAGTCCGGAAATAAATATGCTTTCAGAGTCGGAACTTGGTAAAGTTGTTTTGGAGGATGCCCCCAGCTGTGTCAAGGCCCATTTCATTTTGCATCTGAAAACAGTAAAATTCCCCGACTGGGAGTAATAGTTGGGAGGGGCAGAGCCCAGGGCTGGACAAGGGCGGGTCCGCAGCGCTCCCGGGTCGGCTGTGCTCGCCGGCCTCCGGGTTAGAGGCCCCGGGGTCAGCCTTCTCCAGGCTCCGCGCCCGGGCGCGGGTCCGAGCCGCCAACTTGCGGCCAATCAGCGCGCGGCGTCCCGGCGCCCGCAGCGCCCCG